ATTTATGCCACTATACTACAGTCCCTTTCATTGGTTATACTTGGCCATTGGTAGGAGTTGTGTTTTAACGAGTCAATAGACTTAGGTGAATTGAAAGCCACTAGGATGAGTGTTAATTGAGTGATCATTTTGTGATTCATTCTAGAGGCATAGTGGAGGATGTCCTAGTTTGAGTGGGCAATTTTTACTATCCGACAAATTTTGTCATCATTGATATTAGTAAGGACACCAACATGCCCCCTCATTCTAGGACGTCCTTTCCTAGTTACTGCCAAAGCATTAATAGATGTGAATGAGGGAACGTTAATTTTGAGGGACGATGATGAGATTATCACCTTTTCGATTGATCCAGACAACAAATTTAAGAATGTGGATGAAATAGAATCGAATTGTGTTATAGTTAGTAGAGACAAGACTTTCATGGCAAACCCCACTTTTGCTCCTCATGTTTGTGATGATGTGAAGCAGGATTCGAAAAGGGCAAGAAACCTGAAGTAACAAAGAAGAAGAAGAAGTGGCGCCAAAAGATGAAAAATCTCTACTTTCCCCGCAACAAGGACAAAGGCAAGGAGAAAACAATTGGCTACGAAGGCCATCCTTCAGAAATGGTAGTCCAAGGCGCCAAAATACGTGAACGGTTCGGTTATGATTACGTACAAAAGTTTGCAACCGTGGATCAGGAATAATAATAATAATAACTATTATTATTTTAATATATATATATATATATATAGGGAGTAATAAAACGCTATCCACAACTTGAATTGATTGATCTTTCGGACATGATACCATAATCTAACCCTTAAAGATCAAAATCTAGGTCTTAATTCTCTAAATCTTATACCCCAAGATCAATTTAATTAGAAACAATAATCGACGGTTATGATTTGTCCAATTATAGGCAAAAAAATCAATGCACCATCTTAGGGTTTATAGTTTATGATTTATATAATTAGGACCTAGTGTTCACTCATTAAGGGTTAGGGTATAGTATCATGCCCAAAAATCCTGCTAATTCGAGGTCTAGATAGCATTTTCGTACTTAAGGTATGTGGTACCCCGGATTTCACCCAGAGTACCGTAGAAGGCAACTCGTATGCTCCTAACGCATAGCATGCTCCAAGTTCTCAGATCGTTGATCTAATCTAACGGTTAATATTAATTACATATTTAATAATAATTATGATTACAAAATACACCCTTCACATAATTATACGTGCTATGAAGTCCCTAAACAATAATTACCATAATGTTTGCTCGTATGATACTTTATTTTGTAAAGTTCTTTTATTCAACCCCCAAAATTTATATAATTGATAAAAAAAATTCTCCATTAAAATTAGGCTGGAATGGTTTATGAATCAAAACTTCATTGTCATCATCCATAAAGGTCATCGTCATCATCAAAGAAACCCCAATTACTACCTACCCTAAAATCCATAGCTTGATTCTCAAATATGCCGATAAACACATGCTGATTGAATGCTCCGGCTTGGAGTTTGGAATTCCGTGGTGACGCGCATGAGTTGGAGCTGATCTCCATCAATGTCCAAGCAGAGGCTGTTGGTGTATTCGCTGCTGCGGCTGCAGCTATGGCACCCGAGCTCCGGCGGAGAGGGGGTTCAGTTGGTAACAGTGGCGTAGCCAGGATTTCATTCAAGGTGGGTCCGACGTGAAAATAAAAATATATATGATAAATATAATTAATATTTACATGACCCACGATGTGTTTTTATAGTTTGTCGACCGATTTTCGTTTGAGGATGGAGAAATTTACCCTAAATTATAAATTAAAAAACTAAGAATAAACCATTAGAGATGTAGTTTTATGTAAAAATCTAGAGTTAATTACATAATATGTAAGGTTAATATGTGCTATAAAGTTCTCTACAATATGTTAGTAGAAAAGTAGTGAACATGAGGGGTTTGATTTTAACATTAGGGGTTTCGTACAAATACTGTTATTTTGTGTCTTAGGGGTCGTTTTAAAGTTGCGATTGTTTACGTGAGATTGTTACTTGTATTGTGAGATTGGATTTCGTATAAATACATATATTTAACAATCGCAACTTCCAAACAAGCACTTAATCTCGAGCCAAGGTGGGTCCGGGGACCCACCCTCTTCCAAGCTAGCTCCGCCACTGGTTGGTAAGGATTTAATTACGAGCCTAGGGTAGAATTCAATCCTGGAGGCAGTGGGATTTAATGTGTTTGACTGGAAAGGGAAGAGGATTGATCCGTCGATTGTTCTGAAGCTTGCAAGGAGGAGGGGGATTTCACTTGGATGTCGATCTCTACGGAACGCGGGGTTGCCGGAGAAGAGAGACTGTAGTGCGATTACAGTGACGTCTGCGATTGGGATGGTGATTTAGGGTCGCGGGAGATGAGAGACAGTATCGGGATTACGGTGGTGACGACGACGACTAGGATGGTAATTTGGGGTTACCGGAGAAGAGATTCGATGATTGGATAAGCGTGTACCGAACTGCTACCCTTTTGCTGGCGAGTGACGAATCAGAATTAGTTGATGGTGTATGACGACGAATAAGCTTTGGAAATTAACAATGACAGAGGCTGGAGCTCGCGTCTCGTTAGCGGAATTATCCTCGCCGGAGTTTAGAAATAGAACTGAGAAACTTCAGATGCAGAGAGAGATGGTGGGGAAGAAGAAGAGTCATGAACAACGACGGGGTTGCATAACAGAGGCCTTTGGGTGTTCTCGGCGAAACCGCAGAACGACAGTGTTTCTGTATAACAGACATATTTACAGTAGTAGCTGTAGCGTAGCTATCCGACTCGGGAAAATATATATTATGCTGGTACAAAGATATACAGCTCGAAGCTTCGAACCACTAACCTGGTCTTGCAAAAGACAACGCATTTACCATCCTGGCTGGACTAGACTTTTTCATTTGACGCACTTACACCTTTAATTATAACAATTAATGGTTTATCTTAATTAAGGCTAAAACTAAAACTAAAACTTTGTCTTAGACCCTCAGCATCTCCCATTATTTTATATATGCGATCTACCATTTGGAGAGATAATTTTCATTCATGGAATATATGAAGAATGATCTTCAAAACCGAATGAACGAGAATGGTTAAATGACGTGTTTGTGTCATATATTTAACAAGATATGAGTGCTAGTTTGGACATGGAATTTATTTTAAAATGTTGTCAGAATATGAAATCTCTGATTGTTTGTTGTAAGCGTTGTATGTCAAACTATTATTCTGTAATTGTTTCACGTTGACTTTTAATTTAATTTAGAGTATACTTCAATACTTTGAAGATTCGTGACCTTTATTTATTATCTTTTGAAAATATGAATATTATTGTTTGGGTTTATAGTATTAGGGATTCAGGTGCAACCATTCAAATTAAAGTATAGTATCGTGCCACAAACTCCAGTTGATTAATGATCTAAATAGCAAAACTCGATGGACATTCATATTTTCTTGTGGAATGAGAAATCTTAACCATGAAAAATCTCAAATATTGGGAATTGTTGCTTTGTATCGTTTATAACATATGTACAGAAAAAATTATAATTAAGTGATATGGTATAATACGATATGAATAAAGAAGTTGATTGCCACAAATACTTATAGAAAATTAGTGTTGTAGATTACGCAAAATTTAGGTTAAATGAAATGTCATTTATAATTGTTAATCATGTATTGGTTATAGCCGACAAAGGTTTTTCACGGGCTTCATTATCCACTTGATTAGATATATGGCAGTCACATGCTCTGCTTGATCAATTCTTATAGTTATCCCACGTGTAGACGAGTCATATTCGATGGGTTGACTTCTGGTTGACTTCTACCTACTTGAATCAAGATCGCATAGGAAATAATCATATTAACAACTACACAAGCTGAAAGTACTGATACCAGGTCCACAATCGGCCGATTCTTAGAGTAGATTATCGTCATCGTCTGAAACATCGCTCTAGGGATTGTAAGCAAACAACCCCACAAACCCACCCAAGGGTAAAGCCCTAAGCGCGTAATTGGTACTGTTGGAATTGACTTGGATAATTCGAATGCTTGGAAGATCGGTTCAAAGTTGTCAAAGCCCTGAGACCTTATTCATGCTTCTACGGCTGCTCGCCTCATCCTACCTCTTCTCGAAAACCACGTCCGTAACCCTTCCTCAACCTGATGAATGAGAAGGGGTCAGTCTCGTCGTTACTTCCTAAGGCCTTTGCCTAACACTACAGGAAAACAGTTATCTAGTCGTGAAATCTTATTCACGGGAATTTTACTATACTAAGAAGTATGCTAATAGTCATGGGAAATATTCTTGTCTTTGATTGTATAGTTCTAATCACGGGAATTAATTTTCCTATTTTTTAGTTAGCATTTCCTGTGAATAATTGTTAGTCACAGTTAATTACCGTGAACAATGTGACTAATAATTATTTATGGTTAATTATCGTGAACAATGTGATAATTTATCTTTCCAAATTGTAAATAAAAATTAAGATAAATTGAAAAATGAACTAAAATTAAATGAATATAAAATGTACAACGTGTTTGAAAATTTTATCGTGGTAAATGTGACTTACAATTAAGATGAATTAAAAAAAAGTATCGATGAAGGATTTTTTTAACCGAATGGATGAAAGCTGTAGCTGAGGTATGTTTTTACACGAATCTTGTCCCTGTCTGTATTTAAACTCCTCCCTTTCTTTCTTTATTTGAGCCCAACAAGCGATCCTTCTATATCTGTTTTAATTGCATGCAGCTACAAAGTAATTTAGCATAACTAGAATGAAGGAAGTGCGATTTTGGAGAGGGGTTAAATTTCTCACAACAGGGTTTTGTTTGGAATCAATTGTAATTGACAGAGTATCATTTCCAATTTGCACTCTAGGGTTCTGATTTAATTGTGTCATTTTGTACTCGGCTTGAAGAAATTATCACAATATCCTTGTTATAGAAGAAATAAAGAAAACCTAATGCATGTTTGATTTTTATTCAATTTTGGATGCGTTAGGATTCTAATACACTTTTTCTACTATGGGGTTTCAACTATGCAAAGGTAGCAGACTTTGGACCTTGCCGGCGGCAGAGAGGCCATCTATTATCGAGAGGAAAAAGAGGAAGTCAGCCAACCCCGACAAGTACTTCCAATGAAAATGGTGGCGTCGAGGAGAGGCACAACTTTTCAGATGGTCTGATACAAGGAATCAGGTGATACTCTCTCAGTTCCCTTCTAGTTCTACACTGATCAACTAAGCTTGCTAAATTAGAGATTTAGGTTAGTGACCTAGTTAATTTAGGGGGGTTTGCGATTCTGTTTATGGATTGGTGTTTGGTTTGTATTAACTTGACTTTATGATTAATTTGTTCATTTTAGCAGGAAGTGTTGGTAGGATTTTCATGAATGACTGGAAGCTCTCAAAGTGGTTAATGATGCTTACTAAGATCTTTTGTTTAGTTTATGCCTCTGTCTGTGTAATTGTGATGGCTCTAAGGGGTATATGATGCTTACAAAACCTAACCTACTCGCGTGTGCTGGAAAGTTATAACAACATATAGTTATGTTAAAGATGTGTTATATACTCTGAGGAAAAGGGTTTAGTTGTCTATTTTCTTGTGTGCGGTTTTTAAGACATTAAGTAATTTGTCGAGCTTGTGTAGATAATGGAAGGTGGGTCTTGATTCTGTCACTTTATACTACTAGGAAGCAGCCCGGGATGTGTGTTAATGGGATACAAAGGATGTTAAGAATCAAGTTCTAATTGTGTTCTTTTTGTCTCCTTATAGAAGGTGTATTGAATGTTGGTCAGATCATAGGTGTAAGTGCCAAAACTACAATTTGGTGGTTGGTCAAGGTAAGTTTGTTGTCACTTTGGAGAACTTGAAATGCTGGGTCTTTTGTTTGTGAAGTGGTAGTTAGTTTGGAAAAATCAGTATTTGTCTAATTGCTCATAACGCCGTTTAAAAGCAAAGTTCATAATTGGCTTAATTAGGAATTCTTTTGCTATAAATTATAGGTAGAAAGCGCTATTGCAATGATGTGTTTTGACAGATAAGGTGAAGTAATTTAGGATTTCCCTTTACTTACTCTTGTAGCTGACTCTTATTCTTTGTTCTGTACACAAGGTAAAGTAGCAAGAAAGAAAGAGTTTTGCTTTCTCACCCACTCGTGAAAAGATTTGCTGGGATCATGATCATGGAACTTAGTTCAATTATGGTGTGATCCTCATTTAGTCTTGTCTACTCCTCTCCATGGTAATGCATTCATCCATTCATGTTCATCCTAGTTTCAACTCTATTTTAAAATAGCTAGATAACTAGAATGCTACTGCTACATTAACAGAGCATAGATATTAGGTGCAGATGTGATGCTGAAGCTAGGTAGTATGCTGGAAAAAACTGGATTCGAACTCTGTAATGCAGGGTATGTTTTTAAGGCCGGTTGCTACTGCTACAAATTCAATTGCTAATGGTTCACATCTTCCAATGCCATGGTATATTAGTCTCTCATTGATTAATTTAGTTTGAGCCCTCTTGATATAATCATTATAGAGATTAGGGGGTTCATGGCAGCTTCTGAATTCACTTATTACTATAGTTTGTTTACAATTGTTGGGTACTTTTGACAATCTTAAGCCTGAAACTTTTGCTTAATTCCTAGAGACCAACCAACCACTTTCTTATTTCTTTATGACTGAATCTATGCTTTTCTTATTTCTTTATGACTAAATCAATGCTTGGAATAGATAAATAAATTATGTTTTGATGTTTTGGTTTGGTTAAACAATTTAGCTTATTTGGTTAAGGTGGTTTGGTTTGGTTTCAACACTGCTAACCAATGAAACTAATTAACCAATTAATGATACACATAATATACAAAATTATTTATACTTCCATGCAACCAATCAAACCAAACTTTCGTGATTCCCTATTTTATTTCCATGTGCACAACAAACCAAAGCATTATGGGTCAAAAATTAAATTGGCCTACCTATTTACTAAACAAAAACATTTTAGACAACTACTAGACTTTAGGATTACGTACAATACCGTGGCAGCCACCAAAAATTATGTATAGTTTAAGTGTTTTGTAGGAGAGATTTAACTTCCTGATCAGTGGTATTGGTATGTATTTAATATTTATGTTAAGGGTTTGTTGTAAGCTAACTATATCAGGTGTAGAGATGATGAATTATGTATTAACTTGAATGATAATGATAATCATCAATGGTTAGTATTATTATTATTTTACTTATATATAATGATAGTTTATGATAGTAATAACATATGTTTATGTTTTATTCATTAACAGGATAATTGTTTTCATGTAATGTTATGTTATTTGGTTAATTCGATTATCCGATTAACCAAACCAATTAAACTTTGGTTCGGTTAATTTGATTTTCGTGTTAATTTGGACGGTTTGGTTAAGACATTTTATTCCATGGTTAATGAAATTTAGACTTAATTGGTTTGGTTATTATCACGGTAATCATTTGAACACACCTAGTGTGAGGGAACAGAGGGGTGGCTTACGATTTTTGACATGGATCGACACTTTGACGCTCAATTTGAATTCTGAGGTAAGCCTGGTATCCCTTGACTTGAGTGTTTGTGATTGATATGTTGTAACTGCAATTTTGCAGTTTGCTAGTGTTTACTGTTTATGATGGCAAAGCCAAATTTTGTATATACGGACTACTGTTTTTACCTTTTAGAAGCCAAATAGTAGTGTGACGGACATATGGGTGGCTTTCGATTTTTTAACATGTATCGACAATTTCACGCTCAATCTAAATTCTGAGAGCCTGGTCTCCCTTGACTTTAATGTTTGTGATTGATATGCTGACACGCTAAAACACAACACCAAACTGCGACCAAGTGTAATCACAGTCCGGAAATGCAGTAACAGGAAAGCTCTAATGTCAACCCAGGGTCTAGATCTACTGCCTACTCCGTGTATATTTGTTATCTAGCAAACTAAGTGGATTGATTGTGGTCTTAACTAAAAGCAGTAAGAAAGCAGGAAATTGTTCGGTTTTCTAAAGCAAAGGAAGAGTCACTCGGGAATGAGTCCCCTTAGCTCCTTAGTTAGGTCTCAATTGTAATTACCCTGGGTTGATTTACTATTGACTAAACTGCGGAAGATCCGACAGTAGGTTGGAATCTCTTAAGCTGACCAAACCCTCTCAGTCCAACTACCCGGCAGACGACTAGTCTTCACCAGGAAAGAAAGCTGAGGCTATGAGCACAAAACTCCACTACTGGAATTGGATTCCAGTACAAAGCAATAGATTGACTAACTCTCGTATAACCAATCTACTACTACCGAATGATGAAGCTCTAACAACCTAATCAGATTCTATCTATCTCAGGTTGCAGCAGAAATCAAGAAAAGATGATCAGACTTCAATTGATTCAACAAATCATGCATCATTTGATTAAAATCAAACAGTATAACAATCCCAAGTCATTATAATCAAGTTCCCTAACACATGGAACTAGGGTTCTTCATACCCAAGTGAGAGAAAGTTCTACTCCATATAGAGAGAGAGAGAGAGAGAGGGAAACAGAATACAAAGCAGTCATGCTCATAACAATGGGAAGAATCTGCTCTGGGATGTCAATCTTCACTCCTGGGGATGAAATCTGGGCTTCAATGGTGAGAAATCCACTGCAAATAGCTCCTAGAGTTTGTTCTTCGCACTTTCTCTCTCTAAAACTCTGTTTTTGCTCCAAAAAGTCGATTCCCTCTCCTTTGGCTCGAAATTGGGTTAAAACCCATAAATTCCCGACCACACGGCCGTGTGGATTTCCCAGCTGCCAGTGTGAGTGTGCAAAATGCGGCGTTTCGATAAGTGGACTTCAGGCAAGCTACACGGCCAAAACCACACGGCCGTGTGGATTTCCAGGATGCCCGTGTGAAAATCACCGAGCCTTCACACGGCACAAAGGGTCCCCTAAACGGCCAGTGTGGCTTGCCCGTGCAATTTGGTGCCTAAAACACGAAAATAAGACTCAAACGGTATAAGAATGGTGGACAAAAACATGTGTATATACCAAGTCATCAAATTCCCCCACACTTAATCGTTTGCTTGTCCCCAAGCAAACCAAGTCAGATACAAGGTAAGCTCACATATTTCAATCATACCAACATTGGGGACAATTCATATAGGCACAGAACACGTGAATCGTACTGGCTTTCAAACATCAACACATGAACAACTTCAATAGCAACCTGGACAACCACCACAGAGGAAATTCGAGTGCAGCAAAATCAAGTAAAGGAGGAGTCTCCCTTCTGTTCATCAACCAACATAGACTTGACTCAACCACTTACTCAAGACAGTCACCTCATGCACAAAACTCAAGATATCAGAATTGAGACCGAACAATCTAGGTCCTCACCGGGGTAAAAGAGTATAGAGAATATGAGAAAATGAATCGCTCACTCTCGACCAGTGGGTCAGGACAATTTGATGCGAAAAATGCACATGCTTATTCTCTCAATCCCTAACATCTCTTCACCATGACGGCGGCCTCTAAATGTTAGAGTTCACATAAATGGGTGTCATTACTAACTAATCTGGAGGTCTTAGACACAGGTTCAAATGACTGGCTAGGGTCTTGGACATGGGGAAAAGGCCTTTTAGGTGGTGGAAGTATTCATAGCACAAGGTTCCACAATTCCAAACCCAACACAATCACAGCCAATCAAACCACTTACTTTCTTTCCGCCATTTTGCATTACTCAAATTCTTTAGAGCACAAGAGCGAAGGAGGTCACAATAATGTTAGTATTTCCAAGCCAGACTGCTAAGAAACACTACTTAATGGGCACGATTCAGATTTTTGGTGGTGGCTCTCTTTTGCTTTTTTCTTCTCTGTTTTTTTTTTCATTTCTTGAGATAACCACCACCTATGCACATTTTTCACACATATGCCCGAATTTTTAAGAACTACCTCCAATCCTTACATTATATTTAGCAGAAACAGCAGAAAACATGTAAAAACCACTTTGTGGAACCTTCTAAGAGATGCAAAAGGGTGAGTTTTCATTGTAGACTGAAAGAAAGGATAACAAACGGCTGAAAGGGGCTGACTAGGGGGTATGACACACCAGGACATTCAATTTGGTCGTGGGATAATCATATGCCTCCATCATCTTAGCTAATGACAACGTGAATGCTACACATCATGGAAGAGGGAACTATCGCACAAGAAAGAAACGAGCAGGCTCAAATCTCACATGGCTACCTATATGCTCTATCTCTCATTCTGATTCCCTGAACTAGATGCATAAACGACTGTCAAGAACAAGTGATCAAACCAAGTCAAGTTGGTAAGCAAACAGTTGAAAAACTGAACCCCTACACAATTCTACTACACGTCTCAGTCATCATCATAGGTTATCCTAGTTACCATCAAGCTGTCATGCAATAAT